CGAAGCCACCCTCCTAATGACGTTCGTGAACTCACCATTGCCTCGCCACACCAGGGACGTTACCTGACGCTTCAGTGATCGGATTGCTTCCTTACTGAGAGCCCGGATTGCGTATTTGTACCAAAGGGCCGCCAACACCACACTGTTAATCGCCAGCGCCCTACCGATTAGGAAGGTGTGTTGGTCCGTTCTACGAGCCAACTTTTCTAAAGCAGATTTCAGTATCCACTCGTTGTTCAATTCAGGCTTACCTAGTGTTGTCAGCATGATTCCAAGTACCATAAACGGGGCTTCTACAGGAAGCCACTTAACCCGTGGAAGTTTCGGGGGGCGCACCCCTTGATGATAAATCCATCAACCCAAAGTTTTACTTCCCCAGTTAACAGTCATGTAAGAGATCGTTGTGAATCAGTCAAATAGTCTTTTGATCTCATCCATGTTTGCTATAGTGGCATCTACCATACTTGTCAGGTCATCTGCAAACATCGAACAGATGGGGATCGCGTCTTCAAGGATGGCCGAAATTTGCAACTTTCGCAGGTCTTTGTTGGCATGAAGGTTCGTTGTCAGTGCCTCCATCACAATTATGAAGAGGAAGGGTATCAGAGGGTCTCCTTGTATGACTGATCGTTGTAGCAGGAAGGCCGGCGCCACCCTACCATTAACTTGGACACACGTGGTGGCGTTATGATGCAGTATTTCGGCCCAATGCCAAAAAACGGGACCAATGTTAATTTTTTTCATGCATCTGTCTAAAAATTGTCAATCCACGTGATCATAAGTTTTTTCGAAATCGATGAAAACCATAGTTGCGTTCTGTTTGTCTTGTCTTGTTAGTTTGACGAGTTCATTGGCTAATAGGATATTATCCTGGATCCTATGCCCTTTGACAAACCCAGTATGTGTCGGGTAAATGATATCGTCTAGGACTGGAATCAAGCAGTTTGTCAGGGCTTTCACTAACATTTTGTACACCACTGTCAGCAAGGTTATTGGTCTATAGTTTCTGATATCGATCTTGTCCCTTTTTTTTTAACGTAGGGTAAGAACTCCCTGTCCCACCAGCTCGCTCATCTGCCCTGCCTCCCACACCTGGTTATAGAAGTCCATCAGGTTCGGGGCCATATGAGTCCAAAAGGTCTCCCAGAACTCTTTAGGGAACCCATCTACGCCCGACGTTTTCTCCTCATCCATTTGCATCATTGTCGTTCAGATTTCCTCCTTGGACAAGGGACGATCTAGATCCATTTTTTGCTGGCCCAACAGGGTCTTCTCCAAAGGTTTAAACCACTAGTACCTCCGCCAGGTTTGGGAAATTACGATGTTTTGCTAGTTCCCGGAGTTATCGGGGGTGAGACATAGGGTCGGCACTGTCCCATAAATCATATTTTTATATTCCCCGCGAGTGAAAGAAAAAGGGAAAAAAAAAATATTATCTCTACTGCAATGATGTAGGGCAAGGTAGTCTCGGAGGTCGTGCTCAAAGTCTTCCTCCACAAAATGCACCTCACCGGTAAGGCGGTCACATTCTAGATGTTACTGTTTTCTTTTTTTTTTGCTCGTGCGTTTCTTATAAGTTCCCTGCCAATGACGCAGGGGGGAATTCGTGAATTGCTCAAGCCGTTCGTGATATGCTCAAGCTGTATTTTGTCAGAGGATTGTAACACTCGTCACATTGGTACTAAGAGGAATGTATCCAGCCATTTTCACAGCCGGATCCGTGTGCCCCTTTTCTTCCCCTTCTATTCTCTTTTTCAAATCTGACAACCTGGCCACGGGGCTGAGATGCCCTCACTGAGGGCACAATCACACTACCACTTCCAAGAATGTATACAACTGCATCACGGTCAAAGCTTTTTTTTTTTTTTTTTCCTTCTTCTTTTTGAATTCACGGCAACAACTTTTTTTGTTTTCCCCCTTTTCATGAGAGTACCAGAAAGAAAACGGAGTGTTACCCAGGCTCGGCAAACTCGAAGCGCAGTGAAATTCAGGGTCGACAAAAACAGACTCGGAGGTACTAGTGGTTTAAGGAATTCTTCGATTTCTTTCTCCCTGATGTCTTTCTCCCTTTGTGCGCACCAAGAAGTAAATAAATCATTGAAAAAGGATCTTGCTATCTGCACACATTGGGGGGTGGAGGCGACAATATCGTAATGTCTAGTCTGCAGGTCGTAAAGCGCTTTTATGGTGATCTGTGTGCACGTACTCGGGCCATACTAAAGAATTTTTATCCATGGTCCCTTCCGTTTGGTGTCGTGCTAGTCGTCCTCGGATGCATGTTCCCTCGCAGCGTTGTGTGGCAAACGTCTGAAGTTGTTGTTTCAGTGGCTGTGCTCTGGAACATTCCCCTTGTCGTGTCTGCTGAGTTTCGCGTGAGTTGTGTGCGTCATTGGGCTGATCTTGATGTTCAAGTTGCTGCAGTTGCTGGTGAATTTTCATCTCTTGTTGGTGTTTCCTAGCTGCTAAAAGTTTGGAATACGCTTGGCATTTTCTGGCAGATAGAGCAGACCATTATTAAACCAGTCTATTTTGTGTTGGATGTGTTGTTTTTATGTGCGCCAAAACGTCCAACAGTCTGCAATATATTTCTGGAAAGTTTGTTGTTGTAAGATAAAAGTGTTAAGTTCGTAAAATCCTGGACCGCGATTTTTTCGGAAGGATAAAACGACCGTACACATTTTGTGATCCAGACCCGGGTAGGGGCTGGCTGGTAAGATCGTTGCGAGAAGCAGAGATCCTTCCAGCTCTTCCGAGGTCAGAATTAAGTCGATCCTCTATTTCGTCTGATTATCGGTCCAAACTTTCCATAGGCATGAGTAATATCTTGTGCCTAGGTTTAGCCTATCTCTGATTATCCGCTCATCCTCCTCTACATACCACGGGGCAAGGGAGGGTGTTCGCCATCTGTCCATCCACCGATCCGGGGCTGCGTTGCAATCCCCCGCTATAATGACTAGGACCCCATCTGGAATTTGCGATTTGATATTCTCAAAGAAGGTTTTTCTCTCATTTACAGCATTGGGGGCATAAACACACAGTATGCATACAATTTCAAGTTCCAAGGCGACCAGGATTGACATTCATCGGTCTCCCTCCTGGTTAACCACCCAATGCACCGGATCTGCCCGGGATTCAAGGGGAATCCAAATTTCAACCTCTGCACTCCTTGGTACTGGGGCATGGGCCCTGAAGGCCTTGTATGGCCAAACAATTTTATGTATACGGTTGTGCTCGTCCATCAGATGCGTTTCCGGCCAGTTCCTACCCCCACCCCTCTCATTAAGTCCCAGAGTGCATTGTGTTTATCAGGTCTGCTTGACGCCAGGCCATTCACATTCAGTAACCACAAGTCTAGGTCTGCTGCTCTCTTGCATTGGTTCCAAATGCGGTCTTTCCCGTATACTGCTTTAACTGAGTCCATTTATTAATCTTGCAGTCGTATCATAGACCAGGATGGGTCACAAACGGGTCCACGACAGTTGTTCCCATTCCCAATCTGATGCTCCTGCCGCCATCCTGAGACGCGCACATAGGCTTCTCTGGACGTCGTGCTCAGACCAGATGTCACTATGTCTGATCCTAACCATCTGCAGGTTTAGCAGTTGGCTGTGGGTGTGCCATCTGAGGCTATTCTCCTTGGTTGGATCAAAGCGTATGCATACATCCCTCTGTGAAATCTTGTTGGGGCCTGTTGTAATCACAGCCATAGCCTGTGCCCCTGGCAGTAAGGTCTCTGCAATGTGGGATTCCAGTTTTTTTTCAGAATCCCTGCCGCTGCCTCAGACGAGTTATTTGCGGATTCACCCAGAATGGTGACCAGCCTTGTAATGAAACGCCCCCTTGCCTACCATTCTCCACCGGTGACAAACCTACTTCCCATGTTTCATTTTTCCTCCGAACGGGGATGAGCAGCGTGGCCTCCTGTGCCATGGGGCCGTTGTCGCCACCCATCTCGACGAGCTGCCTCAGCTTCCTTTTTCCGCACCAGATCACGTGGCGCGTTGTCATCCGGGTCCGGAGGATCCCGTCCCGGTGGCCGGGCTGGTTGTTGGATAACCGGGTCCGGCCCCAGCTGCGGGTCTGGTTGGAGATCTCTTCCTCTTGTGCTCCATCCTGATTTGCTTCCTTTGTTGCTGCAGTATGTGGTACTTGAAACCTTGCAGATACAATTGTAGCCAATCTGTGCCATGCATCAGTCCACTTCACCCCCGATTGCAGTCCCTTCTCCAACACGTTTTTGAGTGAGGCGCTAGTGTCCAGCATGGGGAATAGTTCCAGGTATGTCTTTTCCCAGAAGTCATCGGAGAGGGGGGCATGTTTTGCTTTCAGATTGGCCATCAGCCGGAGACATGTCGACCCTTATGAATTAAAAAAAGAAAGAAGAGCAGAGAAACCATCCGAAGGGTGTCTGATTTCCGACATTTAGGTTTCGAGTAAAAGCAACCATATGGGATCATAGTGAGCTAAACCCATGTAGAGGAACAAACTTCATTGTGAAAAGGACAGGAACCACGAACGAGACACTGAATATGAAAGTAGGAGAACACGAAGGAGAAGAGGATGAGAAACAGTCACAACAGCGTACACTCAAGCACAAACTTTCTGGTACATCAAGAAGGCAAGAAAGCCAGGAGAGCCAGGAAACCACAGGTACAAAGCTCCGTTCTGCTCCTCCTCTCCTCTCCTTCTTTTCTCCAACGTATCCTGAAGCATAGAGATCATCGACTCGAAAGCACAAGGGTAGAAGGATGCAGGCGGCCTGACCCACACCAATCTACATAGCCAGAGTAGATTCGGGCGCAAGGCCAGGAGGAAGACGGACGGGAGGAAGAGGACGAAGTGAAAGGACGGCAAGGGGGGAGGGAGGCAGGGGGGAAATGACAGGCAGGCACATAAGCATGGCATCATCAATGAAGGGGCACACGCCAGTCCAAAGTAGGGCACACACGAGCTCGGCCAAGAGGAGCAACAACCGATATGCCCAAGGGGAAAAAAGAACAGGAGACCATGGCTTCGACTCGAGCAAACAACGAAGGAGAAAAGTGCACCCACATCCTTCTGCTCCACCAACTGGACCAGGTGTAGGAAGAAGCCCATGTTGAAGTCCTGTCCTGCCAGCAACCAGGTTCCACTCACCGAAATTCGCAAACAAATCACCACACACCCAACTCTAACAGCACCGACCTTGGATGGACTGAACTCTCCTATAGACACGCCCTATATAGTCTAGGCAAAGCCTAATCATTGTCAACTTCCAGGAAAAGTGCCACAAAGCCCGAAAAACCATATCTATACTTTAATACCATGACGGATACATGCAGGCAGCAGTCCTTGGTCTTACTATGAAAAAGGGAAAACCGAAAAGCGAAAAGAAAAGAAAAAAAACAAAAAGGAAGCAACGTGATGCTGGTAAATTGTTTTTTTTTTCTTGCACATTTCTCTTGCGGTGCATGTGCACGTTTGAGTACGTTACATGCCAGACACACGCTACACAACCACCACCAACCGGCACAGAGAAAAGAACACATCAAACACTCTGTCAAAAAGGTTTCCTTCAAAAAGGAGACCAAAACAAAAACAAAAACAAAAACAAAAAAGTAAACAGAGAGAAAAAGAAAAGAAAAACAAAAAACAACAACAGCAAGTAAACAGAGAGAACAAGAAAAGAAAAACAAAAAACAACAACAGCCATCTCAGAAACAATTCTTCATTCCGTGACTCAAAGGACCCATGTCACGAGGTGTGAGGGGCTTTACTAACGAACTATTTCTGCTGACTGGAGAGAGAGAGAGAGAGAGAGAGAGAGAGAGAGAGNAGAGAGAGAGAGAGAGAGAGAGAGAGAGAGAGAGAGAGAGAGAGAGAGAGAGAGAGAGAGAGAGAGAGAGAGAGAGAGAGAGAGAGAGATTTAAGACAAGACAAGATAGGTTCAGATTGGAAGACCAATGGCAGACCAGCAGCGTTTTTAAGAGCAGGAAAAATGAAAGAAAGTGGCTCGATGTAAGTTAAGGGCGATACATAGGAAGCGAGCCCTGGAGACAACTCAGGCTCAAGATCATCTGCTCAGGCCATCTGTGCCAACCCCAGGGATGGGAAAGGTCATGGCAAAGTCCTCCACTCTCTCTCTGAGGCTAAGTATGTCGGCACGATGAGGACAATCCTCCCTCTCGATGTACTGAAGGAAATCTGCGACCTTAGGACCGGGTGCAGATGCCTTTGCTTTGACTGCAATTTGCACGCCTTCGTCAATGAAATCGGCAACCCTTTGGAAATCCTCCTCCAAAAAGCCGCGGGTTGTCAGCGCCGGGCTGCCTATGCGAATCCCGCCGGGAACCATCGCACTTTTGTCGCCTGGCACCGAGTTCTTATTAAGAGTGATAGAAGCAAGATCCAGGACTCTCTCCACCCTTGCACCGTCAACGCCGAGCGGTCTGAGGTCTACTAGTATCAAGTGGTTGTCTGTGCCATTTGACACAAGGGAATAGCCCAGTTCCATCAGTCTTTCCGCCATGGCTGCGGAATTGGCCTTCACCTGTATCTGGTACGAACGGAATTCTTCTGTCGCAGCCTGCTTCAAGCAGACCGCAAGAGCGCCAATCGTGTGGTTGTGAGGACCTCCTTGCAAGCCCGGGAACACGGCATTATTGATTGCAGTCTCGAGGTCGGTACCCAGGACCGAACCTTTCCTGTAGAAGATCATGCCACCTCTAGGTCCACGTAGCGACTTGTGGGTGGTAGTGGTGACAATGTCTGAACACTCAAATGGGGATGCAACGACCCCTGCAGCGACCAGACCACTGATATGAGCCATGTCAGACATCAGGTACGCCCCTACGCTATCCGCAATCTTCCGCATACGCTCGTAGTCATAATCTCTCGGGTACGCACTTGCACCGGCAATGATCAGCTTCGGACGAAACAGGGCAGCTGTCTTCTCCAGTGCATCATAGTCAATGAGACCTGTCGTCTCGTCAAGCCTGTACGGCATTGACTCAAAATACACAGAAGTCGCCGATACTCGCCTCTTTGCCGTCATGAACCCGTGAGATAGATGCCCTCCGTGTGGCAGATCAAGCCCCATGATTCGGTCGTGCGGCTGGAGGACCGCAGTATAGACAGCGAAGTTGGCAGGCGACCCCGACAGGGGCTGCACGCTTACTCCCCACGTCTCAGGATCAAGCCCAAACGCTGCAAGAGCTCGAGATTGGCACAGCCGCTCGCTCTGATCGATGAACTCGTTGCCTCCATAATAGCGTTTTCCAGGAAGACCCTCCGAGTACTTGTTAGTCAGACAGGATCCAACGGCTTCCATTACTGCTCGAGATGTGAAGTTCTCCGATGCAATCAGCTCCAAGCCGCAAAACTGCCGCCTCTTCTCAGCCTCAACGATCGCATGAAGCTCAGGATCAGCTTCGTCGAGTGGCAAGTCAGGAAGCGGCATGTTACGCTTGTCTGAAACGCTGTCGAGAACAGGGGCCTCCGTTGCTCCTCCACTAGGGAGAGTAATGGCACGGACGACACCAACCTGTCTGCACGCAGATTCTTGTGCCCTGTCCACATCTCTGCCAAATGGAGCAGAGCACTCAACCAGAGTCGCTCCAGTACCAACTCTCTGAGCAGAAGTCCAGACACAAGGAGACGCTTTCAGCGAAGCAGCCAGACTACAACTCCGCAGACTGCTTATCATTGAGAGAGAGTCATTCCTCCTCTTGTTGCCATGAGCCTGAAGACAGGCAGCATCAGCTGCAGCAGCAGTATGAACTGAGGCGGAGATTCTTGACACAGCAGATGTCGCCATGATTTCTGGCCTTCAGCAACTGCCAAGAACCTAAGACCTGGGCTTCTGGAATAGGACCGATGCCCCAAGTCCTGCAACCAAAAAGCACATGAAGATCACGTTAAGACCCAAATTCACGAAAAACAAAAGGAAGGAAATTCCCATAAGCACAGGCTGATTATTACGGTACTATTACCTGAGGTAGACATCGTAGACACAGCAGTCCCCAGTTGCGTGCTGCCACGATTGCCAGGGTAGAGGCAGGAACTCCCTGGCCAGGAGGTACTGGAAGCCGGGCAAGAGTTTCTCATACAGTGCAATGACTACCGTCTTCACCCGAATAGAACGCCCGGTCATTATAGCCGTATTTGGTGCAATTTTCAGTCCAGATACAGCTATAATGACCGGACGCTGTATTCGGGTGAAGACGGTAGTCCGCTCATTGACCTGGCCGTCATGCGGCTGCTTCACAGCACATTGAGGGTGAAAGGAGGAGCTGAGGACGAAGAAGCAGGTCTGCACGAAGCATATTGAGGGTGGAGGAGGAGCTGAGGACGAAGAAGCAGGCCTGCACGACTATGAAGGAGCAGTGGTAGTGGTAGAAGGCCTAGGCTATGGAGGTAGAGGGAGAAGTCCTTCCGGAAGTTGAGGAGGAAGGCGGTGGGAAGCGCCAAAGACAGTTGCCTTTCAATATGGTGGACCGTGATCTTCATCTTCCTGGTTGGCGCTGCATCAAGCAGGCCCCTCCCAGATTTCTTTTCCTTGCAGGCTCTATGCCAGTCTAATCCTATAACTACCTCCCCTTCTTTTTCCCAACCCCAAGCTTCTGGATCGATCCTCAGGGCACTGTTAACTCCTGCCTCCCCCTACGATTACCGGTGGATGTTGAGCGCGTTTACCTGTTGAACGCGCTGAGCGCCCTTCCTTCACTCTGCATTCCGTCAGTCCGCTCAGCCCATACCTTTCTATAAAGTGCCAAAGCTTACCAAACTTGCCTCTTCAGGTGATTCCCTTTCATTGACCTCTAACACGCACTTGCCTTCCCCTGTGTCGTGCCAGTTTTTAACTCTATAGTCCCGCTCGTTTGTGAAATCCTCCAATCTCAACCACGTTCCAAGAGGGTTTACTCCCTCTGGACCCGGCATTGCTTTCCATTCAGCGGGCAGAGCTTCCCTGATCTGCGCTGCTCACTCCTCCCCCAGCTTCTCCTTCAATACTGCAAGGTTGTACCATTGGGTTCTCTTCATTCCACAGGTCCCTGACTGTTGTCACACCCCTCTGGATCCACTTATACCCAAAGTTACCTGTCCCTCTTCTGGCTGTGATAGGACTCCCAGTACTGTCTGTAATTCGGGCGTTGTCAAGAACAGATATGCTGTTCGCGTACCTGTTCCTCTTCTGGTTGCGATGTTGGTGCAACTCGGACTGTTGGTTTCACTGTCTTCCATGCCTGCAGGATCTCTTTCCAAAATGTGGATTTGATCCGTTTTCCTGTAAACACGTCCGACATTATCGCTTTCCATGCATCTTCATTTCGACTCAACCCCCATTCGTTCATCAGTATGGTTTCTGCTACCGTAGTAAGCACCAATCAGAGTCCTTATCTGCTTCGACTGCCTTTAGAACCCAGTCACACAAGAGCAGGTAGTTTCGTGTTTGTGGATCTGTTAGATTTAGTCCTCCTCCTTCCTTTGGCAGGCAAAGTGTATCCCAGGCGGCCTTCGCGATGCAGCCCTTCTCCTGGTTTAAGGATTTCCAGAGGAAGAGCCTGGCTTCCTTAATTTCCCTCAGGGACTCCGCTTGAATGGTCCTCACTCGCGCCACAAACCAAGGCAGTGCAAAGGATGACACGTTCAAAGCGAGAGCTCGACCAATGATTGAGAGGTGTTTTGCTTCTCCCGAACTGCCTTGGGATCACATCATGGAACGGCCCGGCCCAGCCTTTAAAATTATTGAAAAAAAGAAGAGACAACTGCGGCTGTGACCGCTGCACAGTTCAGAATTCTCAGAAGTAACAGTCCATTGCAAGCTTGGGCAAAGTTTCGCTTCTCCCCAACTGCCTTGGGATAACATCATGGAACTGACCGGCCCGGCCCTCAAAATTATTGAAAAAAAAAAGAGACAACTGCGCCTGTGACCGCTGCACAGTTCAGAATTCGCAGAAATAACAATCCGTTGCAAGCTTGGGCGAAGTTTCACTTCTCCCCAACTGCCTTGGGATGACATCATGGAACTGACCGCCCTGGCCCTCAAAATTATTGGAAAAAAAAAAGAGACAACTGTGCCTGTGACCGCTGCACAGTTCAGAATTCGCAGAAATAACAGTCTGTTGCAAGCTTGGGTGAAGACCAGTTAGAAACTGCAAGAAAAACAGTAAATCATGCGTTTGGGGGCCTACCGGTTCAATAATTGGCAAAAACAGGAGGTGGCAGTAGTGGTTGGTACCGATCTTTTTCCCGTGGCCTGGCCTGGGAGCAGTTACCGGTAGCAGGCCCTCCCGTTTTCGGGTCGTTTCCCCAGGAGTGTGGCCTAGGCATGTCGGCCGTGGCCCAGCCACGGGCGTGGCCTAGACATCTTGGCCATGACCCAGCCATGGGTGTGGCCAAGACATCTCGGCCATGGCCCAGCCACGGGTGCGGCCTGGACAGCTCGGCCGTGGCATAAGCAGGCGCAAAAAAAAAAAAAAAAAAAAAGTCGCAGGCACGGGGAAAAAAAAAAAAAAAAAAAAAACACGAGTAGCCGCCTGATTTTGCCACTTCCGAACCGTCTTCCAATGCCTAGAAATGCACAAAGCTGTAACAGTTTTCTGCTTTTTGCAGATTCTAACTGCCCTCGGCCCAGAACCGCAGTGCCCTGTTATTTTTTTATTCCTTCCTGCGAATTGGGAACTGTGCAGAGGTCACCCGCGCAGTTATTTCAAAAAAGGAAAAAAAGAAAACCCATCGGCCCGCTATCCAGACCGATGCCAGTTCGGGCGAACGGCTCAGATCGTGGGCCAATCAGACAAAAAACTTGAGCCCAGATCCGGCCCAGATCGAGGGCCCACATCGTGGGCCAATCAGACAAAAATCATGGGCCCAGATCGTGGGCCAATCAGACCTGGCCTCGCTCAGTTGGTACACCCTCTAACTGTTGAAATACAGACCCACTGAGTTCTACCTCCACTGGAAGCAGATGAGTAAAAGATTAAAAATTACTATAATTCTGAATTACCTAGGGCCGGTCAGTTCGATGATAGGGGGGGGGGAGAATAATAAAAACTATAATAATAAATAAATTAAAAAATCATGGGCCCAGATCGTGAGCCAATCAGACAAAAATCGTTGGCCCAGATCGCAGTCTGGCCGATCGGACCCACGATTTCTGTCTGATTGGCTGACGATCTGGGCCCATGATTTTGGTCTGATTGGCCCACGATCTGGGCCCGTGGCTACCCTTCTCTGAACGGGCCAGATCGTGGGGCAATCAGACGGGACAAAAATCGTGGGGAGTCCTTTGGGACATCCGTTAAAACTGGAACCATACAGAAACGATTAGCATGGCCCCTCCACAAGGATGACACGCATAATAAATCGAGAAATGGTCCAAAATTTTTTATTTTTTTTTAATACAATAAATCGTGAGGCCAATCTTGACAAAATTGTGTTTCGCGGGCTATCCAGCCCTTCCCCGTTCGCACGTGCCGCCCAGATCGCAGCTCCATCAGGAAAAAAAAAATAAAAAAAAATTATGATCGGCCTGCCACATGCGTCATTCCCGAAAACGGTCGGCCGGTAATCGGAGCTATTCCTTACGACGATTAGCAGATTAGCAGATTAGCAAATCAGCAGATTCGCAGTTTCTATATTATTCTCTATCTATATATCTATATACTAGAGTCGCCTTAGACTAGATAAAGAGGAGGAGAGGGAACTACGTGTTCGCAGATTAGCAGATTCGCAGTTTCTATAGTATTCTATATCTATATACTAAAGTCGCCTTAGACTAGATAAAGAGGAGGAGGGGACTATGTGAGCGTGATGATAGTCGCGAAGGGATGAGGAAAGATGACATTGATTCAAGCTTGTCTTCTTCTTCTTCTTCTTCTTCTTCTCTGTACTGTTCTTCTTCTTCTTCTTCTTCGTCGTCGTCGTCGTCTTCTTCTTCTTCTTTCTTCTTCTTCTTTCTTCTTCTTCTTTGTACTGTTTTTCTTCTTCTTCTTCTTCTTCTTCTTCTTCTTCTTCTTTGTACTGTTCTTCTTCTTCTTCTTCTTCTTTGTACTCTTCTTCTTCTTCTTCTTCTTCTTCTTCTTCTTCTTTGTACTGTTCTTCTTCTTTGTGCTGTTCTTCTTCTTTGTACTGTTCTTCTTCTTCATCGGCTTGGTCGTCTTCATTGTCTTCTTCTTCGTCGTCGTCGTCGTCGTCGCCATCGTAGTAGTCATCTTTCCTTCTTTTCTCGTGATCTCATTCTTCATCGTCTTTGAGTTGCTATAGATGGCATAGTCTCAAATTAGAGTCTTGTTTACACAGCCCTTCATCTGATAGCTCATTAAGAGGATCTTCCGCTGTTCTCGCCCCAGAAAACCCAATTTTAAACCCTCCCCTCAAAATGCCCCCAATAGCCACATTCATGGCAGTTCACATAGTAGTAGTACCCAACTGCTCCTCTTCTTCTCAGAGCGTACTCGCACTACGGCTTTTCTGGATGCATTTGACCGCAATTACGGCCAGCCCTGCGTGTATGTGGCCGCAATCACGTCCAGAGCTGAGTCGAAAGGGCCCTAGTGTCAGTATGTCCTCACTGTCATTTGCATGTGCACGCTATCCTCCTCGTTCACACCTAGGTTTCTTTCTTTGTTTTCTTTTTTCTTTTTGTCAAAAGGGCGTCTGCCTTGAGATATCACCATTGACGCTGACAGGCCCCACAGGCAATTCACACTTACTTATGTTCTATGTTATTCTAGGTTTCAATCTTTCTTGTTTATTTTTAGTACGTGGGAGAGTAGTGATACATTGAGAAGCAGCTCGTTTCATTGACAACAACTTAAAAGCATCGCAAAGAAAATAACCCTCCCTCTCCTCCCTCGTAGAGTGCAAAACGCATGGAAAATAACCCTCCCTCTTCTCCCTCTCCTCCTTTTGAAGAGTGCAAAAGGCAAAAGAAAATCACCCTCCCTCTCCCCTTCGCATGTGCACGCAATTCTTGTGTTCCCCTTCCCTCTCTCTCTCTGTCATCCCTTCTTCTTCTTTTATTTAGTTCGTCCTATTCCCCCACCTCCTCCTCCACCTCCTCCCCCACCTCAAAGAGACTAAAGAAATAGCGAAAAAGAACAGCCGCCGCCGCCTCCCTCAACCCCTTCTCGTCTTTTGTCGTCTCCTTTTCTCTCTCGTCGCTCAATTCATTATTCCCGCTCCTCCTCCTCTTCCTCCTCCTCCTCCTCCTCCCCCGACAATCTTCCTCCTCCTCTGCCATATCTTTGTCCGTTGTGTGCCCCTGCTCCACCCCATTTCTCCCGACAAGCCCGCCTACGTATAGCATCACATACCAAATCGCATTCTCTCCTTCATCATCCTCTTCCTCCTCTCTGCACCACCTCTTCCTGCATTTTCTCCACGACCCCTCTTTTTTTTTTTTCCTTTTTTTTTTTTTCCCTTTTTTTCCTTTTTTTTTTTTTTTTTTTTCTTTTTTTTTTTTTTTTTTTTTTTTTTTTTTTTTTGCCCAGTCTCCTTTCATTACTTGAAACAATTCGGGGCCGGGGATCCCCACAATTCAACCCGGACCGAGAGATTTACTGACAGCTTCAGTCAGCTTAGCTTATGCTTCAGAAGGGGAGTCCTTGACTACAGTAGGAACAAACCCGGTCCCAGGGACCTCGTCCTGCAGTCCCCTCTCTGAGCCGAAAATGAACTAAACGTGTCTAAAAAACCCAAAAAGCCGCACAAGCCAAACAACTCCACTACCGTAGTATTAACAAAA